CAGTTTATTTTTGTACACCCCTATGACCTTTAATTATTATAACAAAAACATTTTAATCATCTTATTATAATCACTAAATCTATTGTTATTGTTATTATTCATATTACGTAATCTAGTATTATAACCCCTTTTTTATTAACTGTGTTCACATTTCCTCACGGAATTAGTACTTTTACAAAAACAAAAAAAAATTTCATATATATACGATTGTACAGCTTGATAATAAATTCGTTGAAAAGAGATCCCTTCGCTGAAATTCGTGTTTTAATTTTGATGTTTAAATGGGAATTATCTGTCAATTGAAAAAATTACTTACCTTATAAATAATTGAAAAAGATTGGTTTATGCTGGCACTATGACCGGTTTGTACTAAATGGACCAATATTGAGCTGTTCACCTTCTTCATCAAACCTTTATTTAACCACGCTGGAAGGTGTTCACGAGCACGAAAATGTAAATTCCTAGAACTTCGACCATTATAACTCGCTCCACAGGAGCAGTCGAACTGATAAATACAAAATGAGGTGGTCATTCGAGGAAATTCATATTTTTGCATAGGTGTAACCATTGGGCGCGTAGAAAATACTAATAGCAGTTCTCTGGTGTTAAAAGACTTTTGTATTGTCCTACGTAATCTCTGAGTTAGTATTTCGTTAGTCGCATCCCCTCTGAATTGTAGACACATGAACAGTGATTTCTTCTTCACTGTTTGTATTTCGCCTACTTTCGCCATCGTGACCATATATTTAATTATAAACTTTCTAGGGTAGCCGTTCTCCCTGAGAGTATTATGCAAGTCATTAAACTCATCTCCAACTATATCAACAGAACATATAGTGCGCATACGGTAACTAAGGGTTTTGATCAAGTTTCGTTTGTACTGTAGAGGTACAAAGCTAAGAAAATGCGTATGCTGTCCAGTCCGTGTACTTTTTCTGTTTAAGTTCCTTTTTAACGATCCATCCGCTCTCTTAGTTAAGAGAACTTCCAAAATGGCTATTCGACCATCACTCTCTTCTTCAAATGTAGACTGGATGGCTGAATGTACTTCATTAAATCACCTAAGAACCTCTTGCTGTGACGTCATATTACGAGACTAATATTTGAACGAAGAATATTCTTTCCGATAAATCCTCTTCAGGTTCTACAATTATATATCCAAATTATTATTCCGAAAAATGGCCAGGTTAAGGGCAAAGTACATAGTTTAAAGTATGTTTAAAGAATGCCCTTAACCTGGCCATTTTTCGGATTATAATTTTGATGTATAATTGTAGAACCTGAAGAGGATTTATCGGAAAGAATATTCTTCGTTCAAGAAAATTTTGAGCAACTAAATTATAACTATGAGAGTTCGAAGCTGTAAAGCATAAGCCTGGTGTGATATGGATATATCTAGTTGGTTGCTAGGTGTTCAGATAAAGCGAACTTTCCATTATTTTGTTAAAGTTGAAAACTATAGGGTTGATATATGAACCAAGAAGGCTAAATGATCGAATATGGGTCAACTTACCCCAATTATATATTGAATAAATATAAATCTATGAAATTTGTCAATCTTACAAACTGAAAGTTGTACTGAATTGTGCAATATAAATTTCGTGATAAGTTTATAGAAGAACACGAGGATTCGCAATTTACGTTGGATATAATATTCTCTGTTTTATGCTTTCGACTGTAATGGATTTGAAACTTTATTGAAGACGACGATTCAGATGCATATCATTGAATGATAAGAATGAGTAAAACTTATAAGAGTTATCATTTAGCTTTGTATATGGTGAGAATGATATTTTCTTCATTGTAAGTAAATAGTCTAGTAAGAACTCAATCGTAGTTGTTGTGGATAACATGGTAATATATGTTAAAAAACAACAGTGGAATTTATCACAAAAATTTTATTTCATTCAATGATTGGTCGTTTGGTTCTTGTACATTTCAGTAAATAGCCGTTAGCTCTAATTAAATTTAGATTCAAATAAATATTTGAAATATTCCCATATTGTAAATTTAGAACAACATATATAAGCGAACAATATTGTTTTCGATTAGATCCTCATCAGGCTTTACTCTAATATACAGTAATATTTATATGCATATACGAAATTATTAAACCAATCAAGGTAGTTTATAAGTCAATGATAACAATGGAAAAGGATTACATAATAAGTAAAATGTGAAAAGTACAAATTGATGGTGTGACAACAGGTGCATTAGTTTTTGATAAGCAATAATAATAAAGGTTCAAATCAATGTTACATAATCGGAAATAGGTCAATGATTAGAAAAATATAGAAACTGAGATAACAATTATAAAATTATAAGATGACGTAATAAGAAATGTTCAGATAATTGGACCATGAAACGTATAGTTGAGAGAAAATAAAGTGGTAGGAGGGTGTAAAGAAAAATAATAAACGAAGAGAATAAATAAATAAATAAATACATTCATTTATTACTTAAGGCCAAGGGAGAGATAAGGGAGTTACAAATTTCTTCTGGACACAAAGACTTGGTTTGTTGGCTCGGATTCCTATAGCTTCTGCTATGTGTAAGAGACGAGATTGAACACCATAAGGAAAACTAGTGGGAATCCTATAAATAACTTTGAACGACTTGTTTCTGTCCACTATATGACCGCTATCGATCAAGTGTGATAGAACCGAGCTGCGTATTGCTTTGACATAGCCTTTTCCTAACCACGAAGGGAGGTGTTCACTAACTCGTTGGTTCAGTTGCCTGGTAGTGCGCCCGATATACCTTGATTGGTTTAATAATTTCGTATATGCATATAAATATTACTGTATATTAGAGTAAAGCCTGATGAGGATCTAATCGAAAACAATATTGTTCGCTTATATATGTTGTTCAAATAAATATGTTATTTAGGCTATGCAAACCAGTAATCGAAAGTTTTTAGTGATGATAAAAATTATTACATACTCTATTGGTTATTGCTACTGTTTGTGTAACCTTTCCATGAACTTCATGCCGTTTATCTCCTTTCATGAATAAACTGAATAGAGAACGAAGTGAGGTTTAAAATTCTTTTCTATTTATATTTTTAAAATGGGTTTTTAAGTATAAAATAAGGTAGTTGATAAATGAAACTTTGTCTTGTGTTTATGAATTTCGAGAAAAATACTATGAGCTACTTCAATGATTCTATATGAATAAGGAGAAGTGTAAGTTAAACGAGATGTAGTCTGATATTTTTTTGCTTTGAAAAGTTGATATGTTGATTTTATCAAACAAAAAAGTGTTATGTTGATATGACTTCTCAATTTACTAACAAAATGTTGTATAAGTGTCTACTGAGATGTGGCCAAGGGACAATTGATCACCAATCCAAATTATCGATCCACTGCTCCAATAAAAAGATATCAGACTGGCCAGTAAAATATAAGATTTTTGTAACAAAATCATAAAATTTTAAATAAAATATTTTCTACAAAATAAACATGACTCAAATTCACTGAATTCTGATTCTTTAGGATAATTACCAAACGATGAAATTAATGCCTATAAGACATACTAATCTCAAATCATATCACTTTTGTAAATGTCATGTTTACGATGTATTTACTTAGAAGTATCAAGTATAACAATAAGTAAACCAAGAATTTATGATTACATTTACATTTGAAGAAATATATGTATACATTAAAGCAGAATCAAAAATTCGTATACAGCCATTATATTCACTTCTGAATGGTAACGTAATACTACTGATTTGAGAAAAGTAATTTCTTCTCATTATGTAAGCATATTTGATATGTAATGTTATAACTATGTAATTATTTTATATAATTTAGGTGAACTAATACAAATGAAAGAATATATGTATATAATGTATATGTATATGCTATTCTATGGTTATGCACTGAATATTTGAAGCATTGAAATTTCAGTTATTCAGGTTAAATGACATTTTTGGTAAATATCATTACAATCAAAGTTTGTAAGCATTTCAGGAGGATAAACTAAATTTCGAATGTATGAGAACACTTCAAAATCTAGAATATAGACTAGCAAGTATATAATAACAATAATAAATAGCTAGTTTATAGTTAAATGTTTTATTCAATATTACAGTAATATTTCTAAGATAAATAATTTCTAAATATCTATGATTTCAGAAAAGATTTGAAAATGTACTTTTAATTGCCAATTTTATATCTTTATCCATTAGACTCATTAAAACATTCCGACCTCATGTAATTTAGTTATTAACTAAATATCTTTAAAGTAACTGCCTATAAATTTAACTCATTTAGGAGCTGCCTAAGGACAAATATGTGCTTTGGTTTTAGTGTTTCAATATATATTTTGGTCTATTTATAAATCAATATAATTCTGAAAGTGGTTAAAATTATTCTTATTGATATACAAACCCCATTACTTTCATTCTAATGAAATTGACCTGAGGAATATGATGTGCCGACTGAAATTATTCAAAATAGTAGTCGTTATGCAAAATATCAAGTATTTGGTAATGATGATATTATCAATCTGTGAACACTTCAATATTTGAAAGAGCCTTAAACACATTTTTGTTTGTTCTCAATAGTAACTGCAAACATATCAGAAGGGGTTTTGTGGATATTATAGTAATTTTAATAGTTGAGATCATGAGTCAATTGAAGCTAGACCTTTATGAAAAACCTGGAAGCACTTCTGAGGAGACCCACAATAGGACGAAACGGCCGTCCAGTGCTTCCAGGTTTTCCATGATGGTCTAGCTTCAATTGATTCATGATATTGTTTTTTATTTAATAGTTTGCTCTTAAAGGATGGGTAATATTTGTGTAGTAAATATTCATATCTAGGATTTAAATACAGTTATTATTGAGGCGATCCAGATTATTCCACTTAATAGTCTAGAAGGGTCCTGAAAAAGTTGGGTAACATCTTGTCAAATCAGCTCAAGGGCATCTGAAATGCGAATTAATCTGAAATAACCTTGGAGTGAAGCGTTCTTCTCATATTTCACTTTTTTTCTGTTGTGTTCCAGTTGTTGTGTAGATTTCGCCTGGGTTTAATAGAATCGTTTAGGAAACCTATTCGAGCGTTCAGTTAGAAGTCTTATCAGCTATTTTTTGCATCTTCATTATATTTTTCATTTCTCAATGCAAAAACAAACTCGGCTGTACGATCATTCCCTTTACATGTTGAAAACCCATGTCAGTCTTATTATATGTTATTATTTCATTGACAGCTATATGGTTACTTAAAATGTGGTCAATTGACTTGAGGCGGATTTGAGGACTAGATGAATATCTCTCGATTAGTCAGTATGTTATGTTGTAATTAGTGTAACCTTGCACTATTAATACCCGCTAAGTATAATAAAAAAACATCAAAGAGAATCTTTTAATTAAACTAAATAAATTTATGTAAATGGTCAAAATCAGATTTAAATTATATTATGTTGATCATTTTGTTATCATAAATCAATATATTCACTTGATATCTATATTATTATAATCGTAACTAATACAAGTAATGATGAAATAGACTTTTTAGTTGAATATTTCATACAGTTTTGAAAAGAAGAACTCCACGATCTTCCAATGAAAAGTAAATACAGAATTGTTTTATATGCGTTACATAACTAAAGAGGAAAACAATAAAGAATAGTTATTCAATAATTACAAACAAAAACATTTAAATTATTTTAAGTTCATTTACAAACTGTTAGTAAACTCGGCTATTATTGAAAGATAATGTGATTTTATGTTACTTTTACCAATGTTATCCAATGGTAACATACAAGATGGCATTTAACAGAAAACTAACTCTTTTCCTTTTAATGATTGACAATAAAGTATCAAACAATAAATTCAAACCGGTTTCATTACCCGGATAATAGACCTTTAATGCTAAACTATTCAGTTAACTGATGTAACTAATGCAAAACTGAATATGATTACTAACAATACATATTGCATTCATATAAATATATTCAGAAAAGAGCAAGAACAAAGATTTTAGCAGAGCAGCATGAACTCATTTTATTTCATTGGTTCTCGTCAACTGCTTACAACCTGCGATATTTAAAAAATCATAACTACATAATGCGTTTAAATTACTTACGTGAAAGGGTTTAGTTTGAAGTTATATTGAAGACACATTAGTATAATATAGCAAGGTTGTAAATAATATTAGTAGACTGAATACTGTAAATATATACTTTATGTAAAAGAATATTCTACAACATTAATTGTGGGAACAGTTCAAATGACCAGAAACAAGTGATTACATAATGAGTAAATGTTGATAAGAACAAAATGCGTAGAGCTCAGTTGATAAAATAAGATTATTAATCTTGAAGACAGTCGAATTAAAATTACAATGATGTAATAAATGCAAGAAAGAAATAAAAAAGGAATATTTATCACCAAGTCAAGGAAAGATTAATAACCATCTCCTTTTGAACACAGGTTTTTAATGACTGATAGCAACGACTTCAGCAAACTACAGAATACTAGAGTTTAACTGCTTACTAATCACCTTAAAATATTGTAAGGTATCGACCTAATATCTTGTATGTGTATGAAATATATTCAAGATTAAAAGAGGATTTCCTATTTATAGTTTTCATAATTATTACCTACTTATTTTTAAAGTTATAATTTACTTCATAAGTTATCTGATTGTTTCAGTTTAGTTCACTTTAAAATATTTTATGGTGACTACTTAAATAAGTTAATTGAATAAAAGAAAAGTTAGAATTTAGTAACCGAATTATTCAAAACCATTTAGATTACTATAATCAATTAAAAGATACAATCAAATAATTATTTAAAAGTAGTTTTTTCTTCGACTTATTATGATCAAAGTACATTTATTCCAAGAAATTATTCAAGATAGACTAAGAAAGATGTAGAGAAAGTAGTAAAAAGGTTCATTAATTACTAATATTATTATTACTTCAAATGTAAGTATACTTTCTTTGTAAATGTTATGAGAGCAAAAAAGTTAAAATGTGTTTTTTTTCAATAAAAAGACAATTAACAAAATGAGATGACCATCCAATAGTTCCAAGTTTTCCATGATGATCTAGTTTCAATTGACTGACTTATGAACTCAACTATTGAAACTATTATAATATCCACAAAAGCCCCTTTCTGATAAAAAAACACTTTAAGAAATCAATTTCATTTATCGAATTTTCTCAGTAAAACCCTAGAAGTTTAAACCAAGATATCTCCAAGTAAACTATAAATGTTAATAACCAGATATCATTCAATATCTTTTTTAAGATTTCATTAAAATTAGATCCAAACATTTCCGTAAGTGTACTAGTTTTCCTTTTAATTTTGTACACTTATAATAAAGAAAGGAAGAGTAAACTTAATAACTATTAATCATTCATTTTATTTCACATTTGAAAAGTACAGATATTAAACTATGGATAATACCAACAAAAAAACACAACAAAACAACAACAGTAAATTATCATACCTTGAGAATTTACTTCCAATAATACAATGCCATGTTGGTTCATATTTACGATCAAATTCTTTTTTTAAAAATAATGCAATATCTTTATCATCATTATATTTATCCATAGCCATTGCAGCAGTTTGTACAGCATCTTGTTGCATTTCTTTACTCATTTCAACATATTTAATAACAGCTTTTCTTTCACCACTCTGATGTAATGTATTACTATATGGTCTTTGTTCTATTGGCATTTTTAGTAAAATCTTTTTAGTACTAAAATAAATAGAAATTATTAATAATTTATTCTATTACTTTTGTTTTGTATATTAAACTCTAGTAATAATGTATAGTTTATTCTTTTAAATTTTATATGAAAATTGTTTAATTATAATCAAATAGTATAGTTGTGTCTTTCTATCACTCTATTAGTTACCTTCATATGATTTGGCTTTTTGTTGGTTAATAGTAGGAACTAGTAATAATAATAATAATAATGATCGAATTGTATTGATTCTAGAATAAACAAGTAATATAGTAGCACAGGACTCAATATTATTCGAAGTATAAACATGATCATTGTCAGTCATCATTGTATAATATAAAAAAATTATAAAATAATACAATAGAAACAATATACATATCAAATATTTATGTAAATAAATCGAAACTATTTATGATTTTTATCGACTTTGATAATAGTTAAAGTTACTATTATTTTTAGGATAGTAACATCTTGTTTTTATTGAATGAGATAGATACGTTTAACAGTGTAGGTAATTAAACACTATTGAGATTTCGGATTTTTTTTTATATAAAAAACACATAGCACTTATAAGTAAATAAATGATTCTATTCATAACATTATGACAAAGTTGACAGATAATTCTCTTTTAGACATTAAAAAAAAACTTCAGAGATGGGATCTCTTTTCAACGAATTTATTATCAAGCTGTACAAACGTAGATATTTATGAAAATTTCTTTTATCAGAAAGGGTTTTTTGTGGAGATTTTTAGAAATTCCACTGATTGAAATCATGAGTCAATTGAAGCTAGAACACCATGGAAAACCTGGAAGCACTGGACGGCCTATTCATCCTAGTATGGAAACATGGTGGAACATGATTTCAATCGTGAAATTTCTGAAAAATCTCCACAAAAAACCCCTCCTGATAATAATCATCTGCTCACTAGTGACTGACTTCAGGAGATACTCATGGAGTTCTAGTGAGAAGCCGTTACCAGTGGAGTTCAACCAGGTCTGTTGTGAGATATCAAATCACTGAAGACAACGGTGTACGGTGGTGCAACTTCGTGGATTGGTTGAAGTTAGACATTAACACCATTGGATGCCGGCCGCATCAGTGGTCTAGTGATAAAGTGCTCGCGCGCGAAATCAGTGGGTCCTGGGTTCGAATCTCGTTGGGTGCGGGATCGTGGATGCTGAGGAGTCCCATGCTGTGACGAAACGACCATCCAGTGCTTCCACGTTTTCCATGGTGGTCTAGCTTCAATTGACTCATGATTTCAATTGGTGAAAATGTTCTCATTTAAGTACTAGTTCCGCAAGGAAATGTGAACAAGGAACAAACAAGATGATGTCATAGAAAGATTATAATACTAGATTATGTAATACAAATAATGGCAATAGACTTAATAAGTTAGTAACGAATTATAACGTGAATATAGTAAGATGATTAAAATGTTTTCGTTACAATAATTAAACGTCATAGAGGTGTAGAAAACAAATAAAGTGATATCATGAGCAATTTTGAATAAAATAATAAGAATGTGAGACATAAGTAAAGGGAGAAATGCATCAATAATAATAATAATTAAGGCCGAGGTAACGATAATGATAGGACGTGCCTGTTTTGTATGCATAGTTCTGGCTTGAGCTCATGGATGATAAGGGCTTCCGCTATTTTGAAAGCGAAAAAATCAAGGTAGATTTAGACGAATCGTATATACAACCTTAAAATCAAACTTTGGTTCAATAGAATGATTACAGTCGAGTAGATGTTCAAGTATGGAACTTCTAACTACTTTCTTCTCATCCTTGTAGAACCAAACTGGAACATGTTCTCGTATTCGAGTTAAAAGCGAGCACTGGCTGTGGCCAATGTGTCTTGCTCTACAAGAGCAGATGAAAGTTATTAAGATTTAAAAGTATTAACGATTTATTGTATAATTTCCCTGAAACTTTTATAAAATATTTAAGTGTTTTGAATTCAGAATAAATAAAATATGATATGGTGTTATTCTGATTTTTATGTAAATCGTGCTGATTGATTATTACCATACAGAGATCTTCAGAAAAAGACAAATGTTTATCGTCAATATAATGATCCGTTGTATGTTTCGCAAAATTTTTTAAATCTATTATTAGACTTCTGAAATAACGTATGGAATGGAATTAGATAGCCTTAAATCTACTTGTTAGCTCAATATTTATTCTACCACTGAACTGAAATATGAGGGTACATGTTCTACACTTTCGTCACTTCATAAAACAGTATTGCATTCAGTCATGTTAGTTCATAATAAATGATGTTAAGTAATGTTAAAGATTTTCAAGCAAACTGAGAACAATTATACTCTCATTTCTGTTTAGATTTACGATGATTTGCTTGACTACCAATTAAATTTCAACCACTTCAAGCGTAAAAGTATTACCATTGATACAAACAGATGATCGTTCTAAAATGTGATAGCTAGAATATGGTTGATTGACTTACAGATCTTGGGTTTAATCCTTAGGATCTTTGATTCGCAATGGTTTTCCAGGTAATATCAATTTTTAAGAAAAGTAATCTTGAGATGTGTATATAGTGACTTACTGTTCCAAATAATACAGATAATCACTATTCTTGGAGTGCCAATAACTACCCAAGAAACTAAACATCAATAACTTAAATATATTACTGATAATCTTCATACCTTCTTTTATAAGTATATATTTAATTTGTGATAGCTCGTGTTGATACAGGTTTAGTACGAACATAGTTTGAGTTTTTTATGATTGACAGATGAGTCACCATTCAAAGAAACTGTTATCATAGTGAGTATATGTGAATCACTTTTATTCTGTTGTAATGAACCATCATTTTAAAACAAAATCAGGTGTAAAGTTATCACTACGATATGAGATTTTGCAACTAATACTTTATGGATTATTTTAAAGGAATAGAATATTTCATGATTGCAGTTATAAAATGTTATTTTAAAATTTTCGAAAGCATTTCTTCAAAGCAAAGGACAACTTTTTTAACATCATGATGGATTATAGAGAACTGATCTTAAACTAGAACGATAAAGGTTACTAAATTCTTTCTAGTTTTCAAGGATTATTCAGGTGATGTGACTTCGTGTAACAAATGAGCATGTTACCAAACAATAAATTAAAATTTATCTTCTCATAAATGGTTAGGTGCTGAATTATCCAATGATTCTCTGATACCAATGAATGTAATCTACTGTACATAAAAATAATAATCATCAGATTTTAAATTTGTGAATGTATTGTTTCAAATTCTTCAAATATCATACAGATTACAGCTTAGTTATCGTATGTAGTCGAAGATCCATGTCTATTCAAATGACTCTTCCCTTCTTAATGATTTTGATGGCAATGGCTGTTTATAATAAAAATTGGTTCCAAACTAGTTATGTTTATCATCTTCATGTAGTAAATTATTTAATGCGGGTATAGATGCTTAGACAAAGATTGTAAATTTAAGGAAGTAGTTTAAAAAAATAATAGTCAGGAGCTAAAATGATCTGATTTACGAACTATTATTATTCAGATATTAGAAAAAGCTTATAGGCTTCCTGTAATTAAATGTATACAGTTCACGTTAAACCAAACAGTAAGAGAATATAACAATGTCTGTTTGACAACAATAAAATAATATTCACAGACTAATTAAAATTATTCCAACGGGTTTACATGGAAAATCCATTTAAATCATTCATCTGATATTACCATAGAAACGGATAGAAAGTCTGAAAATCAAACATATAAAGCAAACATCTAAATTGAATCAAATATGAAATAGATGATTATTGTTATAATTTATTTGATCCTTTTATCATTAAAAATTACATGTAATAACATCATTTTCATGGTTTGAACTGAAAAACAAACAAACAGCCGAACAACTGTTAACACATCAACGTTACAAGGAATAAAAAATAAATAAGAAACTATGGCTAGACTATAATTTATAGATAAATCACTCACATTTAAGAGAGCAGATCTCGGATTTTGGCAAAAGATTCATTTACTCATTTGGTTTAATACCATTTTGGCATTATAGCTGATGTCAGTTCGTGATGAAAACTTACTTTAACATTCAACTGTAAATCCTGATTCCTTACATTAATATGCAACCCTCATTTAACTATGATAAGTAAGTGGACATTCCAAGGTCATTTTAGCGTTGCTCAAAGGTCTTACAGAAACTATTTGTATATACTAAACAATCAGTGTTTAATTCCTTATCTACCATGGTCTTGGGATCTTTTTTACTTTAAATAGTTATGAGTGGCAATTATTAATTTCTTTGTAAATCAGAGTTATCTTTAAAAGTTCTTCTATAAATGACGATTTTTACTACCTACAAAACCCGACCCTGTAATCATGACCAAGAACTTTTGTTGCGCATCGTTGTGGCCGGTTAGCCGCGTAAACAGAAATTCTCTTCTTTGACCCAAATACGCAAGTAATGGTTTATGGTTTGCTATTAAGGTAGATTGCTGACCAAATATCATCTTGCGGAACATTTTTGCGGTAAAGATAATCGATAGAGCTTCTTTCTCAATTTGACTATAGTTCTGTTCTGTTGTTGTTAACGATCTGGTTTTTTCAGCTCCATCGGGAAAAATATAAGAAATAACTGCTCTAATACCATAATTTGAAGCATCTGAAGCAACCACCATAGGTAGAGAACGATCACAATGCCTAAATAAGAAACTGGAAGCTAGGAGTTGCTTGATTTTATTGAAAGGTGCTTGAAAGTTTGCTGACCGACCTTATTTTGAATTCTTTTCCAGTAGATGGTTTAGTGGAGCACACAGACGAAGGAGATTAGGAAGTGAATTTTTGTGATGACTAACCAATCCTGGATCTTGTCGTCGTTCATCTTTATCTATCATGAAACCGAGGTATCGTACACTTTTCTGTGCGGAGGTGAAGACCATATTCAACTGTGTGTGTTAGCACCCGTTTACATTTCTTTTGCAAGTTCATTTTATCTGCTCCCATGATTGCGATATCGTATAAGTAAGCTGCCACTCCTATAATACCTTGTAACATGGTGTCCATAATTTGCTGGAATATGGAGGGTTCCATCTTCACTCCA